GTGTAAACAAAAACACGCAGTAAACTTTTTAAACAAAATGGTTGTTTTTAACTTTTTGATTCAAAGGGGGCCATGCCCCCCCCCCCAAAAAAAAGAGACCATTTTTTTTGTTTTTTATGTGACATTGCAATAAAGGCAGGCAATGAGTACACCACCATCCTTTCCTAAAAAAAAACATTGGTTAAAGTCGTCAGAAATTGCCTCAGATCGCACCACAAAGCATCTAGAATCCAAGTAATTTTTTTGACCCACTTTTTGGGGGGTCCAAAAAAAGTTTGGCCCCCCCCCAAAAAAAATTGTGTTCTGGATCCGCCCTTGGTATATTGTTCACAAACATCCCAAAAATCGATATCCTTATAGCCTGATCAATTACCAGTTACAGGCAAGTTAAAACAACATGTTCAATCTGGGCGCGATAGTGCTCCTGGTATGATCATTTCCATCATTGAGAACGGTTATATAATTCCTTTCATAGAAGAACCCCTTGAAATGTTTCTCAGCAACAATAAATCGGCGAGGCTTATAGACGCGGTTATAGAGCCTATATTTTAGGGGGGGGGTAGCAAGGGTGGATCCAGATCTTTTTTGCAGGGAAGCGTGCCGAAATATAGATTGGTTATTTTATCTGATCACTTAGGCCTCCGAAAATCAATAGGTGAGGTGGGGGGGGGGGGGGGGCTCTTACCATATTTTCAATGAGGAATGCTGACAAAATCCCACAATCATGCACACTATATCACCCAAGAGTGTGCAAATTCCCCTTTCTCACGAGTATTTTTTTCGGGTGAGACAGTTCGCATGTGACGTCACCATCGATCATTTTGCTACTGCCATTTTTGTATGGAATTTGAGGGGGTGGAGACCAAAAGATAGGGAGGGGGCAGAGGGGGGCAGACCCGCGCCTCCTCCTGCATTTTAGAGAAATACATCCTAAATAACCAGACTCTTATCCGTCGCAAAATCGGCTTCGAAGATAAACAGACTTCAGTGCTCATAATACATGTACATACACAAAAAGCACTTTAAATTGGATGATTGCGAGTCAACTTTTCACTTTCTCTCCGCAAATGCTATCATGATGTCCTTTGACTTAAAATGGGGCTGTCATCATTTCGACATCGCCCCCGTTTTTCAACGTTATTTAGGATTTACTTGTCGAATTAACGGGGTCGACATATTTCGAATTCACTGTTTTGCCCTTTGGGCTCACCTCGGCAGTTGGCACCATACATATTCACCACAGCTCTCAAACTATTGGTTACACATTGGAGGTCATGCGGTATCCTATTTGGACGACGGTTTTATTGTCATCCCACGTCCTAAGCAATTTTCAGACCATGCTCAGATCGCTCTCGACCAGGAAGTATAATAATATTACCACACCTAAACAATCTGGCCGTCAATGTTTTAAACATTTGTCTCAGTAATTCAGTTCGCATTGATTGATGTTGAGTGGATACCCAGGGCACAAAATGATCAAGCCGATTTCGTCAGCAGAATCATTGACACAGATGACGGGTCTCTCTCAGTTGAATTTTTTTCGACGTCATTAACGCCCGTTGGGGTCCTTTCACAATTGATTGCTTCGCCACTGTTTACAATGCTTAGTTACCTCAATTATATTCCTGGTTTTGGAACCCAGGCTCATTAGTCGTAGATGCTTTTGCTCAGAAATGGAACGGCGAAAATGCCTTGTTGGTCCCTCTGTAGTTTTAATCCCATGCATCATTGCCAATGTAATTGTGTCCTCATTTTTCCCTTGGTGGCCTTCGCAACTTTTCTGGTCTTTACTGTTGTCCCGTTACCGAATTTTGCATTTAAACACGGAAGAAATCAGAAATATCTCCTTGATTCAAGTGATTTCGATTTCTACGTAGCAGCAGCATACTGAGATTCTGTTTCAGTGTAATTACTTTCCCTTCCACTTAAATTCAATATTATTTTTCAAATTTTACATAATTTCCCTTTTCTGAGTGCATATACTAAACGCTCGCAACCACCCCCTTTTTGCGTGATTTTCCACGCCAGTTTCAAGCACAAGACATAATTCTTGCGAAGTCCGAGGGTTCAATTTCTATCATAGTTAGATTCCCAGTGTATGGGCCCCGTGCACATTAAGTACCTCCTCAACGGCCGGAAAGGAGAGTTGGGGGAGACCAAGATCAAAAGCAACATTTCACCTTAATTTTCAAGAATGCCTTGGCAAAAACACCGCGGCGTTCGATTAACCTCATTTCGTGGCTTCCCTAGCGTTATGTCTGTGTGCGTGTACAAACACTGCCTTGTGGGGTACCGGAACAATGGGAGGTACCCCACAAGGAATGCCCACCGACTTGCGGGGTACCGTTTTGGTACCCCACAAGTTTTTCACGAAATAGATATATGGATTTTACTCAAAAACTACGAATGTCCAAGGTGGGTTGATTTGTCGCAAATGGAAGAGTTTTAGAAAGGGGATATTAAGTCCGAATTCCAGCCCAGGAAATTAACATAGAAAAAAAAGACTAGATCGGCAGCGCGTCCACACGCGCCCATTCACAGTGCGATAAATCTCCGCCATATTTGTTGTCTCTCGTGGACGCGCAATAAATTAACGTAAAGCAATGGAGCTAAATGTATCCTCCAGCATGCGACCTTGCTCAACGCGTCTGAAGCTAGAAATGCGCACCGAGTACGTACGCACTGCGCTCAAACAATAACGTACCCGTGCCGCTTTCAATTTCAGTTACGATAATCATTTAATTTTCTGCAAACTTATAATCCTGTTAACTTTTAAGCCAACTAATTTTGCTCAAGTAAAACAACAAATTTCCGTCCAGAATTTGCAGCCTATAAGACAATAACTGGTAAAAACTTCGAAACAAACTTTGCACAGGGCTAGGGCGGTTGACAGAGTTCGCTTGCCCAATATTTCATTTCATGTTAAAAAAACAAATCCTATTAATCGACGAATGTTCGAACCAAATTAGATGCACAATCATATTAAAAATTGAAGTAGCATTCTTATCCCCCCCCCGAACAAAGGTAAGTTTGAATATATTTTTGTAATATTATATTATACATGTTTAAACATAAATTAAACATCATTTCTCCACCATTCTGTTTCATGAGAAAATTTTAGGTCATTATAATTTTTTTCTGAAATGATTTGAAGCTGTGTTGTTGTTACTTGTTTCACATAATGAACTAAGTAAACATAATCTTAACCATCCATGTTCGCGGAGATAATGCTTGAAATAAACAACAACGTATGAGAACGATGTTTTCTTTTTGTTATTTTCTGTGTATAATATGAAAATGTTTTTTTATTCTATTAACATTCAATGTTTAAAATAAACACTCATCATGCGCGTAAACGGCGTTGCGTTCATCACGTTTGGCGCGCGATGGTATCTTTCCTCCAGCTCGTGACCCTCCATGCAAGGCCCTGCGTATGCACGCGCTGGCGATCTAGTCGAGTGGCGAATTGCTTTCGCCACTCGCACTGGTCTTGTTTCGTGCCAGCAACCCGGGGCGACGCGGCCACACGTCCGGGTATAATAACCAGGCAAGCCTGGACTAAAGGCTATGGCTTCCCCGGGTTTGACTCCGTGTTTAAACGGGGAAGGTTATCAAAACTCACCCTTCCTTATAGAAAAATCAAGTGAAACAAGTCAACATTTGAAATTCGGGAAAAACAATTTTCAGGAATTTTAGCGTGCGTGGATGTGTAGCTCTTAATACCTAGACGAAGAAATTCAAATATAAGTTTGAGTCACATTTGTTATGTTTGTGGAGTTAACCCTAAAGGGGCCGGGGGCGGAATCCGCCCTCCCCCCCCCCTCAACATTTTCCGTGATAGCCTCTAAAAAATGATTTTCGCGACCCGAGCTGTTATGAGTTGTTAGCCTCGAGCTTTGCGCATCTTTTGATATCAAAAACATAAAAATCGGACCACGGGTTGCCGCGTACCGAAAAAATTTCCGGCGCTATACGCGCCGTGAAAACTTAATTTTCGCATATACGTCGTGTACACAGAGCAGAATTGCCATTCGTACATATGAATAATTAATTAGCCATAATTCCAAAACCCTTTGACCTATAGTCATGAAATATCTTGGCTATGTTTAGGAAGAGTTGCTCTATGCATGTGCCGAGTTTCAAAATTTTTCGTCACTCAGTGGCCTAGATCTTAGGGGGGGGGCGGAATCCCCCCCCCCCGGCTGAGAGATGGTCAAAATAACCCGGCCCCTTTAGGCCAAAAAAAAAGTCTCCGGTTTCTGGTATGCGCGCGCGTCGCCGTAGCCATGCGCGTCGGCAAAACGAAAAAGTTTTTTTTCAATAAAAGATGATGTCTCAAAACCGCCAAACTCACTGGTTTGACTGGAATCCTGCTGCTGCACAATTTTAACGTGTTTTTAGATGGGGGTTATGATCGAGAATAAGCTTTATGTGGCCTCTCTGGACTCCCATATATTTGCATTAAGTTTAGTCGGGCACCATTTGCAGTCGTCAGCCGACATTAAATTTTGAAGCAAAAAAAAAAAAACAGGTAAAAAAAAAAAAGCCGCGTCATCGCACCACTTCTGGGCAAGCTCCATACCAGAAACCGGAGACTTTTTTGGGAAGGGAGGGGGGGGCCTTAGGGTTAAGTTGAGGAAGGTAGAGAGAACAATCATTAATAAACAACAGGTTCTCCGCGAGGGAAGTTGAATGTTAGGGGAGTCAGGTTGGCGTAGCGTGGTTCTTTCCTCGCCTTCCACCGCTGTGACCCGGGTTCGAATCTCGCCCGGGCCAATTATGTGGATTGGGTTTTCAGTCCCTACCTGATTCCGCACGTTTTCCACAGAATATTCCTCAGGGCTTTTCCTCCCACCTCTAAAACTGTCATTTCTTCTCATTGACTTCCCTCCACAGGTTTCTTCAGGCTTGCGAGCTACAGTGCTTATATTAGGGTACTTGAGGAATCCTTGGTTTCATTACCAGAAAGAATTAAAATGAAATGATGAAAGTGTACATACCTCAATGTCTCTGATGAAGACATTTTTCTCGTTCACATACAGGAATTTTTTGCCTTTTGGATCCCCACCGAGGATAAATGGAGAACCTCGTGTCGTCGAGGGTTGAGCGGCAAAAAGACTCTCTGAAAAACAAACACAATTCAGCGTAAGAAATCTCACAATGAAAAAAAAATAGTGCACATTCCTCACTGAGTAAAATTACCTTGTAAGTAAGCAACGATCCAAATTTGCAGCATTTTTAAAGAAAATTGACAAATGGGATTGGACGCCGTGACAATTAGATCACCATGATACCTGTGCTCAACCAGTTGTTTGTGTGGATAATGGTCTTGGATATCACTATCCATATACTCACTTCTCACGTAGCTGAACGGCATATTTGCAATGTGGATGCGGTTCCTTCCAGCTCAAATGAAGCAAAAATGAAGCGAAGTTCCTCTCCCACAGAACTCAAAGCGGCATGTGTACGGTGCCCTGCGTGTTCTATCGCTTATATGCACGTTTGTACACAATGCAATATGGGGCGGGAACCAAAGCACTGTTACCACTGTCTTATCCTCCATTCAGTTCGAGGCTCCATGGCCATGCATGGACCTTTTTGCTAATAAATTCATAACTATGCACGCATGCGCATAAACAGGCCTGGCTGCGAGAAGCCAAAGCGGTCCATTGAAAATGTATAGGGGTCCAAACATTTGAGTCATTTTTTCTGAATTTGTTCCCCCAAATCACACTTAGGCCAGGAAGTAATGCCTCTGGCAATTTAATGGGGTTTCTCAAAGAACAAAGCGCCAAATCCTAAACAAATTGAGAGAAAATGACCCGACTGTTTGGACCCCTGTACATTTTCAATGGACCACCTGGCGTCTCGCTGCCAGGTCTATTTATGCGCATGCGTGCATAAAATTTATTAGTAAAAAGTCCATTTAATTCAACAAACAATATGGAAACTGTTAAATGCCGCGCTTATGTCCATATCTATAAACAGGTGGCCACACCACCCTGTGGCGCGCGAATTGGGTGATAGCTAGGGCACGACCCGGTCATCCTTTCGAAATGGAATGAATTAACCATTATTTTAATGTGATCGGGTATGAACCGATCATCTTTTAAAAATCGTTAGAGTTTTCCTTCTTTTTTTCCGGACGATAATTCCGCGCAACTTTCCTTCGAAACAGTTTATGGTATGAACTGAAATTTTGAACATAATCGACCCTGATCCCGCTTGGTGCAGATTATTCTGATGTCATGACGACGTCATCGGGTGTCAAATTAAAAACAGTTTTCGTTGAAAATAAAAAGATCACCTTTTTCTCTTGAAAAAAATAATCGATCATGTAATTCATACTTTGTAATCAGATTACCCATAAATTGATGTACATTTTTTTCCGGGGGGGGGGGGGGTAGGTCGTTTACGTGAATTCTTTCTGTAAAATTCCCGAGATTTCCCTAGGCAACGGACAATGGAGTACCGAAGTGTGACGTCATATAGAACCAGAAGTTCTAAAGTGTAGTGTAAACGAATGGGGTACGCGCGCGTGTTGGTTCAGTCATGACATGGGCTGAGTCACGCGCTTATGTGTTTCACACACATTTTGTGCGCGTCGGTACCACTGATCTCTATATAAAGACTGGATAGCTAATAAAGAGCCGCACAATGAATGCATTTGACGCCATATTGGTGAGACCGGCTGGTGATCTACAAAGGACAAGTTGCCGTCTTTATAGACAGCATTATTTCTTTTGTAACGTCGCGGTTCCGTTGACTTATATTTTGACCAACACCACTGACCAACTGACCAATGTTTACTACAATTTTTCTAACGTCGTGGTTACTTTTATAATGCCGCAAATCATTTTTCGGCGTTTTTGAAATAATAATCACTACGGAAATGTGTCCCTTTTTAGAACATCATAATATGTGTACGTGACTAAAATGCGCGTCAACTGTTGATACAACGCGTGCATATATTCGCGTATATACGCGTAGAACGTTCGTATAGACCGCTTGCAGACGCGTTCGATAATTGACGCGCGAAGGTGCGCGACGCCATGTTGTGGGACAAAATGTGCATGGATAGATATGCGCTTGTCCCACAACATGGCGTCGAGCGCCTTCGCGCGCCTTCGCGCGTCGATTATCGAACGCGTCTGCAAGCGGTCTATTATAGGCGGCCATCTTCGTGAGACCGGGGGCGAATTGGTCAATATGCAAAGTCTACTGTGTGAATGTTGTATGCATATCAGCTATCCAGTCTTTATATAGAGATCAGTGGTCGGTACTCCATACATGTCGCTAGGCCAGGATGATGCTTGTGGTACGGCATACGGCCAGGGACAAAATTGTGCATTTTGTGATTAAAGCATGTTACTTGGCATACGGAAGTCTTCATACCATGACAACAAATTTCAGATATGAAGGCATTTCATAGCTGACCCCTGGTAACATTTGAGGGGTCACTGACCTTTGAATACTCTATTTGTACCTATTGTTCTTGAAAACATCAATTTCCTGTGACCTAAGTCTATGTATAGTTTTCATTCAATGTAAATATAACGATCAAATGCGGGAAATTTCAAAATTGACCTCTGATGACTGGATACAGCAGGGTGTAGTAAGTACACAAGAGTGACTATTGCTTGAAATATTTACATTTTTCCGAAAAATCCACAGATTTCTATTCCAATCTCATCATATCGCATCTACCAATAAAACAAGGAGAAATGAGGTCAGAGGTCACCTCAAAATTGTTTGTGGGGTCTGATTCATGACATGACTAAACTAATAGGTGCAATACCGTTCTTTGGCACTATTGAGGCTTAGGTCACGAAAAACTGGCGTTTCGACGAATAAATATAGCAGCTAAGATATACAGAGTCCATTGACCTCTCCAAGGGTATCACTACGTCAAATATGATGTCCCCACATCTGAAAATACTTTTCATGGCACAAAGATTTAAGTTTTAGACTGGTGTTTGGTCAACTTGTATCTGGGGGTGGGGCTAGGCAAATTGATAGAACAGTCGTGGGCGCGGTTTTCCAGAATATTCTTCAGGGGTTTTCTCCCACCTGAAAACTTTAATTTCCTCTCACTTTCTTCTCTCCACATAGGTTTCTTCAGGTTTGCGAGCTACAGTACGTGTGGCATGCACTGTTTAGGAATCCTTTGTTTCATTATCAGAAATAAAGAAATAATTTAAAAATCGCTAACTTGGTTTCGTGCGAATAAAAAGGAGTAAATGCTCCAGAATTCAAATATGCACATGTCATTTTCAATGCTTGGTTGGGACAACCTTGATAAAGCCAATAATCATGCGCTAACTTGCAAATGATGCCCCAATGCAAATAATGCCATATGTTCGTCTGAAAAAAAACCATGGCATTTGCTTTTACTTCCAATTTTTAAGCATTTCCTCGCATCTATATGAATGACAATTAAAGGAACGCTTTTACTAAAACCCATTTGCTAAAACTAATTCCTTTTTGCCTTTTAGCTTTTGCTACATGAATGCGTTTATTTACTACCTCCAAAGTATAAAAGCACATTATACTACGTAAAAATTACAGCACTTTGTAATGTTACTCGCAAAAAAATAATCATAACAAACTTCAGCAAGTAACTAAATTATAGCATAGTTCGTATGAATAAAACTGGCTTCGCTTTTATTACCAATGCGATAGCATTTAAAATTACTGCATTTATTAATGTTAATCGCGAAAAATTAATATTAACAAACTTCATAAATTGCAAATGTCACTTTAAGCGTTAACTACCTGGCAAATATAAAAGCACATAATTCTGCTCAAACATTACTGTATTTATTAATGTTAATCGCGAAAATTTATTTTAACAAACTTCACAAAGTGCAAATGATACGAGGTTTTTCCTGCTATTTCAAATCAGTTTTGATTGAAATTCACCAGCTCTAACATTCAATTTCGTCCAAGAAATTTTTCACACGCTATTAACAAAACCAATTTAGTCATTTACCATTCAATTTTAAAGTTTGGTCAGCCTCTTAGTCACCGGGTCGAGAATATTCGTCATTACACATCAAATTCGTCTAAGATGTTGCCGAATGGCAGCATTCATAGATCAAATATCCGTCTCTTATATTATTCAATAGACGAGTTTGATTCCTTAATGACAAGGTGTGGTGTAGACGAGACGAAATCGAATACTCCGGGACGAAAACGTGTGCTCATTGTTTTAATTTCGATGTTGATGGACAAATTTGAATATTAGAAACGGTGAATTTGAATGATAAACGTTTTAAAATAGCAGGAAAAACCTATATAATCGTATGAATATAACTTGGCATTTGATCTTACTACCAATGCTTAAGAATCAATTTTACTCGCATCTGTATGAATCAAAAATTCATATGAATAATTTCAGTTGAAAAAAAATACTGCATTTATTAGGCTAATGTTAATCTCAAAAAAATTGATATTAACAAACTTCATAAAGTACAATTAATGCCATAGTTCGTATGAATAAAAACTGGCGTTTGCATTTACTACCTTTTTTTTTAGCATTTACCCGCATTTGTATGAATAAAAATCATGTGAAAAACTTGCGGACATTTTGCTCAACAGCCCTCACGACACTGTGCTTAACACAGTAAATTCTCTATGAAAACACTAGCCTCTTCCGAATTTTCGACCATTAAAAAATTGCTAATACATCATACCATATACATGTATCGGTCAGCATTTGAAAGTATATACGATACTCTTGAAGGTGATCACTAATGTATAGCATGTCCGGGAACACATTTTTTTGAGCTGGAAAATCCTAATAAACACGAAACATTTTGATTTCCTACAAGTTTTCGGCCACCTAAGAAAAATCTGGGTATTTGTTTCAAAAAATCTTTGTATTTGTTGAAAAAGATTCGCTTGACTGCCCACGGCTGTCAGCAGGGTCATAACACTAGGCCAAATTTGACGGCCTGTTCCATCAAGATGAAGATGACGTTAACGAGGCTGACAGCCGTGGGCAGTCAAGCGAATCTTTTTCAACAAATACAAAGATTTTTTGTCAAGTTACATACATCTGAAAGATAATGATACTCATCAGGAAATTGTGGACGAGATCGAAGACAGAGTCAATCATTCCGGTATTCTACTGCCCACGGCTGTCAGCAGGGTCATATCTAAACACCAGGCCAAATTTGACGGCCTGTTCCATCAAGATGAAGATGACACCAACGAGGAAGACAGTGACGATTAAAGACTAGTCAACATAACATTAAGATCACTGATGATTTAATTGCAAAGAATACATTTAAAAACAAATTAAAAAACACACGAGTGTTTCAATGAGAAATGACGTCAATAAAGCAATAATGTTATAACGTATACACTTTCTGCAGTTGTATTTTTCTTTGTTGGTGTTGTCTTACAGTTAAACAATCGGGCAAGCCCTACTGTCATGCAGTCATAAAATTAGTGTTTGGACACGCCCTGTCAATAATCCCCGAAATATTTACGGTCTTTAATGCTTC